GGGGTCCGGCGAGCATGGCGTGGAGGTGCCGCTAGCATCGCTAGCACATTGCCAAGAGACGCTGAGTTTAGGGCGCGAACTCCAAGGCTGGAGGCTTCAAGTTCAGGATGCGTTGAATTGCGCGTACTAGCAATTATGTCTGAGTTCGGAGTTTGGATATGTTTGGATTCATCATGGAGTGACAGCCTTCCGGTTTGAAGTCCGGCATCAGGCTTTGTTGGGTGTCTGCACAATCAGTGGTCCCCAAAGGTCTGCTTACCCTGACCCTTACAAGTGCCTCCACGCTAAATACCTCTGCCACTGATAGATGCATAGATTGGCACTCGTCTGATCTCTCAGAAGATACCGTTTCAAGACACGGCCGACGGCTTCGACGACTTTCGACATTCGCGCGTACACCGCGAAAAATCCAGAAGAACATGTCATTGGAGGTGCGGATATACTCCGTTTTAGACTGACCCTAAAATCCTGAACAGCGAAGTCAGCATCAAGAGACATGAACTTCAGGCAGCATGTCCTCTAGCCTCAAACCGCTCGGGCACATTTGCAGACAAGAAATAGCAAGAGTTAGGGTTTAGAGTGAAGAGGACCAAGGAAGAGGTAGGACAGAGAGCGGAGAAAAAGAGAAGGCAAACGGACGAAGGTTCAGCCTGGCGTTGGAGCTTTCGTTCTTTGCATCGCCGAGTAAAGGAGTGGCAATTGAGATCATGATTCATCCAACCGTTGCAGTGCCCTTGCTTCTTTGGCGTCCCCGGTCTTCGCCAACGATTTCCACTGTTACCTGTGACACATGAAGCCTGGTGCACCTACCATCTGCCAAAAGTGAATGCATCCCGGACAGGATGCTGCACGGTGGCTTCTTTCCTGTTTGATATCAAACATGCGTGCCAATAAAGGCGATGCTATGGCCGCGAAATTCTTCGGTTGCATCGAGTGCCGAAATGCTTTTGAGATGCATACCTGGTTGGCGAAATCTAACCCTTTACCAAAGAAATGCGGACCTAGATGGATGCAGTCCAGACACTGACAGACAGGCGTTGTCAGGGAGGGAAATGAGGTGAAGGAGAGTGGAGCGGGGCATACTATTGCTAAGCAATGTGCAGGGACAGTCTTGCAGTGCTCAAGGCTCTTAGCGTCGGCCCGACATTGAAAGGATGCTCCGAAGTCGAACCATAGAAGCTGAATAGGGAAGTTCAGTTCCCCAGAGACATCCTTTTGTACAGGCTGCAAGGGCGTTCTTTTTGATTGCTTCAAATCCTGCTGAAGAAGAAGATGATAAAGAGACTTCCACCTCCAAGCCTTAAAGCTGTGAACAGAAAAGAGGCCCAAAAGGCCTTATAAGCCCCAGACTACACCCTAAAACGCCCCAAGCCCTAGACCCTGAACCCCTTAACCCCTACCAAAAATTAAACCCTCACCAAGTACCCGCAGACAAAAGCCGTGCCTTGGAAAAGGCATGCTGCTGTCAAGACACCACCGACATTCGCCCTGACCTTGGCAATTCCATGAAAATTCAGGCAAATTGTGTGGGCTATATGGTTTTTAGTGATACTGTAGGGATTCGCGGGAGCCGGGGAAGGGGAGGTAGCAGGGAAGAGGCTTCATAGAGTCCTGGAAGGATGAATTCCTCGCAGACAGTCTGCGCGCAGTCCCTTTGTCCATCAACTGAACCCTAAACCTTAAGCCTCAGACTTCAAACCCCCAAACCCTGCACGCGAAAAGCAAGTAACAGGAACTGCTTGAGCAAGGGCGCGGCTATCACTTTTTAAGCCTCGGCTTTTAGATCCCTTCTCTTGGCAAGAACCCCGCAGGAGTCCTTCCGTGGCTGTTGGTTTTGGGGCTGTTTGTTTTGGTGGAGACGGAGCCCGTGTAGGATGCAGGGTTTAGGGGTGTTTGGATTTCTGCCACTTTCTTCCGGCGAAGTTTTGCCTCCCATGGTCCGTCAGTGTCTCTTCATTCACTTCCTTGTCCACTCAGTGGAATGCTGACCCCTTTCAGATCCGAAGCAGCACTCTGCCTCCCTTTCCCGTGGAGGGGTTGGTATATGGACGAGAACCCTTGCCCGAACTTCGAGCGACCTTTGTAGGTCCTGTGCTAGCACTGGCAACGGCCCCCGAACTTGCGGCCAGCGGTGGGATCTGAGGAGACGCCGTGGGAAGAAAGCAGGAAGCAGGTACTCTGAGCGCGATGGTGCATGGATTGATTCATGTGCGTGCGGTTCAGGGTAGGTTTGGTGATTTTGGGGGGATTGGGTTCACCGTTTACAATGTTAGGCACTGTTAGGCCAGCTCTTGCAGAGCTTTCGCTCGTGGGCGCATCTGTGACGCTTTGGACAGACCATGACACCACGACTAATTGAGCGGGACACGAACGCCCACATCCGTCGCATGTCTTGAAATGGTGATGCTCAACAAAACCTTCAGTGCTTGAATCTAAGGCCCTGAGCCTTGAGAATGAACCTACAGCCCCAACAACCTTAACCTGCTTACGCCTGAGCCTGACTCTGCAGATGGGAGCTGTGGAAACCCGCAGAAGCCCGGCGGGCGGCCTGCCATCCTGCCCCACTACGAGGCCACGCATGTACGGTTTTCAGGAGAAGCAAAGACATCAAGTATTGAACCATGCACTGCTCCGCTTGCTGGAGGAAATATCGCTGTGTGAGTGCTGCATCCCTTGCGGACCACACACCCAACGAGAATCCTGAAGCTCCCAAGCTCTTCAGGTCTTAACTGTATCCTTTGTAAGCCTCACATACACCCGGCCCTATCCCTTATTACTCCTAATGCACCCTACTCGTACCCCATCACTCGTGCACCCTGTGAGTCGCACTTGAGCAGCGCTAAGCTTGGGCCCAAGCTCTCTTCCGCCACTCACGGCGCTGGAATGTCTCCTCCTGGACGCTTGTGTTTGAGGGTCAGGGTTGAGGGCTTAGGGCTTAGGGGCTAGGGTTCAGGGTTCAGGGCTTCGTTGGCTTTTTGGTTAGGTTGGGGCTGAAGGCTTCGGGATGGGTTTTGCCAGGGCAAGGGGGTTTATCGATTGTGTTTGAGGCAGGCCCGCCTCCCCGTGCAGAGAGCAAAAGGGGATGTTCGGGGTTATGTTTGGGAGATTGTTGAGGTTGGGACACGAGGACAATGTCGTGTTGCATGCGCATAATATAATCATTAACGAAAATCGCAACTCCGTAGTTGCGGACTGTAACTTCCAACAGTATCCAACAATCGGAGCACTCTGCATTTGCAAGCTGTCTGACGTGCAGGCGATCCCAAAGGCCGTGAAGCTCCAGCTGGCAAGCCGGAGTGGAAGCAGCATGAACATCACCATGACAGGTCAGGTGTACCCATCCAGCCCAAGAGACCTGGATCGAAAGAGACAACCGTGGAGCATATGCTTGCTGTGAAGCACAGGATTGGCCACAAGGAGCTCTACCACCTGAAAAGGCGTGTTGACAACAAAGACACCATTGCCCTAGCCCTGTTCCTGTTCCATCCTCTTCCCTACCAATAGTGTTCTCATAGCTACCTCACTAACCAAGAGTGCGTTCTTCTGTACTTGTGCCTTGCGACCTTTTGCAGGGCTGTGGCAACAACTTTGTATGAGAAATACCGGGAGACGGATCCGAGCAGAATCTGTGACCACCTGAGCATCGACAGGTTTTGCCTTGAAGTGATTTCGCCTGTGACCTACAAGAGAATGCATGTGGAAATCGGTAGGCAGGGCATTATCAATGCTTGGGTGTCAGAGCGGGAATGCAAGAAGACCGATTGCAGAATTGACGGCGAGGTTCGTGCCCGCTACAGCGAGAAGTCGAACCGCTTTCATGTCTGCTCTGGGCCACAGAAAGGCAAGTTTGCGAAAGGCACCAAGGGGGACATCAAGGGGCTCGTCACGGACAATAGAGATCGAACCAAGTGGAAGGACCCCAAAACAGGCTCTCCGAGGTCGAACCCTTTTGGTCCGGCACCAGCAGAGAGCGAAGGGCCAGGAAGCTCAGAACGGGGAGGAGGAGAAGGGGCAGAGGGAGGTAGCACACCTACCACAACGAATGCCAAGGGAGAAGACGTGGAGGAGAGCGGTACGCGCTTCCCAGATGAGACTGCGAGGATTGGGTGCCTGGTGAAGAAGAAAACCCAGGACTGGCTTGGAGATGTAGTGGATTACAGTTTTAACTTGAAACCCTACAAGGCCTAACCCTAAACCCTAAGTGGGGGCGGGGGTCCAGGGGTGGAACGTGGTATGTATTATAGCGGCAAGGCTGAAGCTGGAGTTGCAAAAGCACGTGCGGACTGATTCGTTCCGGCACGTTTAATATGTCTGCTGAACTGACCTGTTGCGTAGGACAGCGCTCCCGGTGGTTCATGTTTTTGTTCTTTGAAGCGTATCGGTTGGTTGGTGGTTGTCGCTTACATACGGCTCTGGGTGGATCGGTCTGAGGGCTGGATTGGGTTTGGCGGAAGTCTAGGGCTTTCAGACGCTGTGGCTGTTTCACGGCGTAAACAGGGTCTTTAGGAGGAGCCCCATGTGATAGAGAAGCGGAGCCCGAACTTGCCGAGCACAAGCTCTGAATGGATCTTTGATTTCCGCGCCGTTGTTCTGTCCTGAGCCCGACCCCGAACTCAAATCAAGCCTGACCTTGCATCCGGACTGGAGTTGTTTCCATCCGGAGCCTGAAGTGAAAACCCAACCCTTTCCTTTGACGTCCCGGGTCTGAACTTGAAATTGAAATCCGGCACCCGCTTTCCCAAGAACAACTTGCAACCAAACTCGAGCTTGAAATTCAAATCGGGAATCGGAACCCCGCCGTGCTTGTTTCGAACGAACTTGAGCCCGAGCCCGAACTTGAACCTTTAGGGTTTAGGCTTTAGGCATGGATCTGCGCAGGATGATCCGCCAGATCACGGACACGCAAATGATAAGCCTGTGCCGGATGAGTCGCTGGAGTTGGGAAAACGAAATAGGAAGCGTGGATCTTGGCATGGCGAACCACCAGATCAAGGACAAGGAGGTGGTAAGCACGGGCCTTCGCAGGATGAGCTGCCAGATCAGGAACAAGGTGGTGTTCAGGGTGGATCTGCGCATGATGGTAAGCATGGACCTGGGCAAGATGAATCGCCAGATCTAGGAGAGCATTTCGTGACCTCAGAGGATCCTTCCAACAATCCTCGTAGCGTGAATGCCACCAACGCTAATGGAGAACAGGTCAGCCAACGCAGTGAACGTACACCAGAAGGCACAGAGCATATCTTTCACAAGGCGATCAACGACCAGGGCGACCGTATCACAACCCGCACATACCTCAACAAGAGTGCTATAGACTCTTGTATTGGAAGCTCCGAGAGCTACACAGAAACGAGGGTAATACGTGGGTCACCATTTCAGACTGTCGCTACCGGAAGCGCTCAACTTGACAAGGACCGCGGTGCCATCATTGACGATTCGGTGTGCATCTCTGCCGAAACAACAGAGATTCGCCCAGAGGTCAAGGCTGCCGCATAGGGCGGCCTTGAGGCAGGTGCTTCGAATGCACGACACGCAAATGAGCAACGCCTCCACCTCACACAGGAGTCCAAGCTCCAAGCACTCAAAGACACAGCTTACATGCCCTTGCGAGATGCAGCTCTGAGCACTGCAAAATCCCTAGCCCAAGAGAAGTTGATGTCTATGGCCCCGACTCATCTGCAGGAGTGCATGAAAAGTCAACTTCCATTTCCAATGCCGACCTTTGATGGAGAGCGCCTTTGTGCCGACTTTGCTGGGGGTCATTCTCTTTCTGTGGGTCAGCGCAGGCGCAGTGGCCACGAAATTGCCAGAGATAAGACGAAGATGTCTTCAAGCCAGGTCGAAAGGGGCGTGCAGTTTCGATGTGGCATCCCACAAACTGCAGGCATTGTGGGCGTAGGAGGGAATCTTGGCAGGACCGAAACCACTGAGCAATTGGTCCGCAAAAATGGAAGCAAAAAGACAACCCATGGCGTCTTGGATGGCTTCAAGGGTGGTGTCGATGTTCTAGGGGTGGAGGTGCTGAATCTCGACACTGGTGCAAGCCAAAGCCATTCACTGTAGCAGGAAGCAGGTTTCTTCGGGCGCACAATTGAAACTAATACCTCTGGACATAAGGTGCTTGGCTTTGAGAAATTGCATCAGTCTTCCAGACATGAGTCTAATATTCTTGGTCATCGAGAAGTCAATGTTGACTATTGCGCAGGGAGGGCTACGGAAGAGAGGAGCTATGGGCTTGGCTCTTGTAGTCTTGTGGAGGTGAGGACTCACGGCGAGATTGAGAAAAGAGGCAGTGCTTCTAAGCTTCAGAGACCAGATGGCTCTGCGATGGAGGGCATGAGGTCCATCCCTGGGCATCTTGCAGGCTCTACGATTGAAGGAGTGAGGTTCATGGAGACTTGCAGCGTGCTTGATAGAGGGAAAAGCTCTGTCGAGGCGGCGGCCGGGGTTTGCGGCATAATTGACGAAGCGCGCGAAACCCCTGAGCATCTTGCGTCCAAGCACTTGACAACAGTGGCTGCAGAGTCTGGTGATTTGAAGAGTTCTGCAAAGGCTTCGTTCGGCCATGAAGGAGTGGTTGAAAGGAGATATACCACCCCTGAACATCTTGAGTTCAAGCCGGGCACAACATCCACCAAGTTCAGCTTGGGCCATGGAGGCCACATGATTGTGGGAGCTGGCGTGGCTGGCCTGGTTGAAGGTGGATGCGACCTCCTCAATGGCAAGGATACGAGCGTAGCCCTGAAAGATTTCGCAAGTACCACGTGCCAGAATATTGAAGACTCTGTTTTCATGGAGGCCACCGGCTTGCCCATCGTGCACTGGGACTCAGATCACGTGTCGGCAGTCTTTGCGCAAGGGATCTCCATTGGTGCAGGACATGAAGTTGGCTTGTACAAGACCCCCGAAACCGAGATGCAGCAGGATACAACGGGTGTGCAATTAGGTGGCGGCATTCCAGGCGACCCCCGCAGGTGGTGCAGGCAAGGGCGGCAATTGGGCACACTGTTGACACCTTCTCCACGGACGAGAAGAGCGCAGCAGGCACACAACATCATGAGGAGACTTGCACCACTGACGGTGTCGAACTTCAGCTTCTGGCAGGAAATCGCTCTACAGCTCCTACAGCTCCTGTGCGAATAGGTCATGTTTGCACTACCTCACGTGACTCTTCCCACACAGTCAAGGAGGATGGAGCTAAGAGCAATAAGGTTCACGAAAGAAGCTATGATGGTTTCAGTTTGGGCATCGCTGATGCAGGTGCTGTGGACAGGATGGCCAGGACCACAACTGAGTCACCGGATGGCGCCATCTCGTACGGCACGGAGACGTTTCACGGACATGAGCTCGGTTTCTCCACAGGTCTGTACAATGTCAGTGTTGAGACTGGTACGTTCGAAGCCGAAAGTGGCACCGAATCACATTCCTGGAAGGACAGCGCTGGCGTGCAGCATTCGGAGGAGGCTCATGAGGTCTTTACTGGTACGGAATCACAAGCACACCAAAGCGTATTGTTCGGGCTCGCAGATTGGGATCACGTGCGAAAGGAAGGCCATGTTGAAGGAGTCAACGAGACCAGTTCAGCTTCTGACGTTACCGAGGATGGTGCGCATGTTGTGTCCTCGCACGCCGAGCACACTATGTACAGTGGTGACAGAGAGACGTTGGACGGCGCTGTCCAAGAAGAGCACCTTTCTGTTCACAAAGATATTCGTGACCACCAGGTGACGACTCATGGCGGAGATACAGCAGTCGAAGATAAGGTGAGTGCTTATGACGGTCGGCGTGATTCAGACACTGGTGACGGCAATGGCTCCGGGACATGGCATACCGACAAGTCTGTTCATAATGAATCTGAATCTCAAGGGTTATTTGGTACTACACAGCATGTCTCTGATGTCAAGATTTCTCGTTCGCAGGAAGGCGATGAGAATGGTCCAGTGCAGGAGGCATCAGAGGGTGACTGTGACGTCACAGGCAAGCATTCTGGTCTTAGCGGCCTTTGGTCATCCACGGAGACTTTTTCCATCCATGATGGCGAGGGTGACTTGACCACCGGGAATTCTTTCTTTGCAACGACCGTTCATGGCAAGATGCACTATGATGAACAGACTGACAAGGTGGAAGTAGATGATGTGACAGGCAGTCATGTGACCCTTTCGCCCAACGCAAACTGTGCGATTGCATCTGCGGCTAGCGCGGCACTGCAATGCGCCATTCAGAAAGGTTACCTTGATTGGCAGGATTGCGGTCAAGTTGCCAAGATTGGCGTGCGACAGTTCTGCATCTTTTCGCTTTTTCAGGTCGTGTCTGAATCTCTCAGTTGCCCATTGATATCTGTAGGTGTTGTAGCTGGTCTTTTCGGCGCTTGCCGCGAGATGAAAGCACTGTGGGGAGAGCGGGCCCTGCTCACGTGGGACAAGCTGGCCCATCAGGGAGTAATTGTGGGTGGCATTGCGTCGGACATGGCCATCTACATGCTGTTTGCTTCCAATCCGTATTTGCAGGTCATCCTAGCAGCGGTGCGTCTTTTCCGAGATATATGTCGTGAAGGCTATGATGCATACAGAGGTAATGTCAAGTTGACCATGGCAATCCAAAACGTGCGCCAAAACCCTCAGCTTGGAGCTGCAGGCATGGGTTTTCTTGGTGCCAAGATTGGTTTGCTTGTTGGTGGGATTGCTGGTCCGTTGGGAATGGGACTTGGTGCTGCCATTGGAGGTGCCGTGGGAGGTGTTCTTGGTGCCCTTTTATTTCGATGGTGGACCGGTGAGCCTGCAGACAGAGACTTGCAATATGCTTACACCTTCTTGGAGGTCAGTGAGGAGTGCGCAGATGCCGCGATTCATGCCGCCTACGGCCGCAAAGCGCGCAAGCTACATCCAGACAAGGGTGGATCAGCTGAGGAGTTCACACTGCTGCACCATCATTACGAGAAGATCCTTCAGAGCCGAACCGCGGCGCTGCGCAGCGAACATGTGGAACGCAAAGTTCGCAGTCTTCCAGTCATTGGGCTTGAGACGGATATGTCTACAAAGGTATCTGACTGATTCAGCTTAGGCATGGGAGGGGCCAGACCTTACTTGGCCGCCTCTGACGCGTCAAATCTTCCATAGGCTGGAAAAGCCTGAATGCCAACGTCGCGCCTGGCAGCAAAGTTTGCCAGCGCCTGGTATCCAGAATTCAGCATCGCGAATGACCTAGTGGAAGTGCTTGCTTTTCTTGTCCCTTCGTGCTTATTGGCCTTAGCAAGAGCCTGGCTTTGCAAGACTGTTTGTTGGTTTGGCCTTGCCATTTGTGTTGTTGCTGTTGTTGGGGAGGAACGTAGGACGACCTGACCCAGGCTCTACCAGACAGAGCGCTCTGCGGACATCTACTTGAAGGGCCGGCGCCTCGTGAGGTGCGCAAGATGCTTGACGGTAGCGATGCGGCTAAGACCCAGAGTCCATAAAGGACGCATCATCCGGATCGTCCACGGTCCCTTGGATGTCAGGTGGCCTTACGGTATCAAAATGACAAAGTCCGGGGTTCCAGTACTGGTAGGTGCCGCTGTAGTATTTGTACAGTACGTGTATAGTATTTCTACAATACTACAATGCTATTTAATTTTAACCCCCTCAAGAAAAATCGTAGGACCAAATCACGTTGCCCCATGAAGCACCCACAGACGATTTGATTAATTTCAGGCAAACTTCGCCCTATTGAAGGCCCATGCGCTAATCGGGTTAAACGTTGATTGCAACGGCTGCACCTTGTGCGGAGAGAGGGGTCTCGTCCCCTTCTCCAAGTTGCACGTACTAATGTCTCCGTTTCTGTGCCGGGCTCCTGCGCCGGGAAAAGTAGAGTGCATCAGGGCATTCTGGGTTGAGGCTTCTGGGTTCAGGCTGTATGGGTTCCGTGGCCTTCTGACGATGTAGGAGTATGAAAGTCTGAGTCCTTGGCTCATCCTCAGCTTCGAACACCTTTGAAACCCCAGCCATTATCGCTGTTGTTCCGAACTGCGTGATTGTCCGAGTGTTATACTGATACCTTGGGAGGCGCTCTGTGTTCACGGTGCCGAAAAGCTATGCCCCAATGATTGGCAGACGCGACAATGGGGCTGCAGAGGGGGTGGGGCGCTGGGCGTTTGCGCTGAGGAGCTCTGTCCCACTGTTCTAGGGTTTCAGGACTTAGGCCTTAGACTCTACTGTCTAGGGCATCGCGTTTAGAGTGTAGGGTTCAGGGTCTATGGTTTAGAATTTACAGTAATTTTCAGTTCTTGGGTGTTTTCTGTCGAGTCCTTTGCCCTTCCTCGCAGCAAAAAGATGAAGCGCCTGAATCCAGTGCTAGGCATGATTACAGTTTTCGTTCTTGCCATTCAGGCATTGGGGTTTAATAGGGTTCAAGGTTAAGTTTTAGGGTTCAGGGTTTGGGGTTTAGGTTTAGGGTTTTATTAGGGTTTAAGGTTTCAGGGTTTAGGGTTCAGGGTTTGGGGTCTGTTTTTGTTGAGAAGAAACACTC